CACCAAACTCAGCATTCAATGGTTAGTTATTTTGACGGTCAAGTATCAATGGGCTGACATAATAATTAAATTGACAAAAAATTAAACCAAAGTGAAAACCTAAATCTTCTACTGTATTAATGCGCTAACGCAGTAATACTACAAGATATAGTGGGATACTTTTTGGGCCACCCTGTTGTCTAACAAAAAAATATATAAACGTTATTTGATTAAAGTGTTAATTTCTTTAAGCTCTTCGGTGCCAGAAAATGCAGTTTCCACGGAAAGGTGTAAATGAAATACAAAATCATGTAAAAGTTCATCATATAAGAAATGTGTATGTAAATTCAACACTTCAGTATGTAATAACAAGTGTGGCAACAATTTGCTTAAAATATAAACTTTATATTTCTTAGGTATAATGGTTAATCTACTAAAGTAAATTGAAGAGCTAAAATTTTATGTAGTAACACATCAATGATATTTAAATTTTCTCGTTTCTCAGTACCTTACAAGTCACATCTCACATTTTTATTTGAATTTCACCATAATTTTGTTTCGCTGAATTTCTTTTCTTATTTCATTTCATTTACTTCGTATGCATGGTAACTGTGACAAAGTTTTTGAGAATTAGTCTAGTTAAATAGTCAATAATACGCACCTCTTCGTACAAAGATACGGCCTTGCTAAATTCACGAACAATTTTGTACTGTAAAGCGCAGATAAAATCCACACGTTCCTCCTCAGACAGATCCCACAGATTGAGCATTTCTTCAACGTCTTGCGCTGCTTCTGAAATGAAAGAGGAAAATAAAGGTTGACAAACTGTGCAGCGGCATACAGGAAAAATACAAACAGAACTTTGATGCTTCGAGCGAAGGAACCTTTGTCCAGAAGTAATAGCATGGATCGGGAAAATTACAGGAGCCAAAAATAAACCAAACAGAGAGATTTATTCAGAACAAGATTTAAACAAAAAATGTAAATCACACACATGAATATATTAATATGGAAGCTAGCTACATGATAATTGCAACAATTAAATACGATTTGAATATATTGCATAGAATAGGGTGAGAGTTAAATGTATATACTGCCAATGTCTTGTTGTGTCAGGCAAAGGCTGATAAAGCTAGATGCACTCGTCTCACTGATGTCCCATATAAAGATCTCCAGTTCGACAAGAGAACATGATGCTGTGCTAATGCAGTCACCTATGTACCTACCACAGTATATTGTGATATATACTGATATCACTTCAGTATATTGTTTGAAGCTCAGTATTTCAACAACAAACAAAAAAGTAGGATAGTTGGGACCCATGCATTGTTGAGGGTAAGCACCAACTCATTCAATCGATTTAAAAAAGTTAATAGTAGACTGTTCCTGCATGGTTGGGACCTTCAAACGATTATGATGCGGAATTACAGCGTGCAATTATTTAACATCATGAATTGAATATTTTAAGAATAATAAGAATAAAAGTGCCATAAAATTAAATAGTTTAAAAACTTGGAAATATGTTTGGTATAACATGCTCTCCGACCCAGGCTACTAACTTCCCAAGGAAGGGCTTTTGCTCGAAACGTCAAATCTTTCCTACATATACCGCTGCTGCTCGTCGTCTGCCATCTTGTTTTACAATTACATCTAACTAAATTACATCACAACCAGGGTAGACGTTTGAAAACTATAAAAATACCATCAGCGGAATGCTTACACATAGCTTGCGCTTTAATCTGAAATCGACATGAATAAAAAAGTAGAATTTACCATTAAAATCCCCCTAGAATTTCTCAAGATACAAAATAATTTTACCCCAATTGTGACGTCACGCATATCCGACGACGGATATGCATATCCAAGATGGCGAAATGCATAACAATTTTGTTTGAAATGAAGGGTAATATCTTATATACAAAAACGATAAGGAAAATCTGCAATTACGTTTTGAAATATACTGAATCTCTATCCTAAGTGGGAAAAACCCATTTTCCCTTTAAGCGGGCTTAATATAACGATACCTGGATCATTCTTGTAGAGAAATGGAAGATTTATATCGTCAGTCAATGGTTCGTTATCATCTAAATCCTCCATTTTGTTTGTAGTATCTAAGTCATCTTCCACAAAATCATATTCTACAGCATCTTGCTGTCTTTCTTGAGTTGCAACCTTTCTGTCGATTGAATCGTCGAAATACCCTTCGTCATCGTCCGTTGATGATGGCGGGACACTAAAAAATTCAGCATTTTGTCAACTCTATAATGTCGTGAAATCTCTCGAATTCCAGCCAATAAAGGTTTTCTCAACATGCAACATGAATTTGATAAAATAATACAAAATCTTGACACCCTATAGAACTATGGCACCTTGACACCCTATATTTTAACAATGACACGTTGACACACTATTGAAACAGAGTGGCGGCCTCATTAAACTATCGCGATGCGTGTCAAATTGACCACACAAAATGATACCGCAATCATATAAGAGAAAAAGTGGGCGAGAATGTTAGGAAGGGTAGAGAAGAAAGGAATGCAAGCGAAAGTCAGAACTCAGAAATGCTAAGGATAGTGGAAAGATGAGAGGGCTGGCGGTCGGGAAACTCAAGCCATCCATTGGAGAAACTTTAGCATTATGTCGTGGAAATGAGCGTGTTTTGGAATGAGCGTGTTTTGGAATGCTGTTGAATACATTATTAAAAACCATTCTATTTTGTTGCAAGGTACTTCAAAAATGCATGAAATTGTGGTTCACCACTATTTAAAATTCAACAATATTCTGGCCCGGATCTACAAGATTGGTTATTTCTTGGCGCTATGAGTCATGACTGACAAGCAATGGCTATAAACTGTAATAATAGTGTATCTTATTAAAAAAAAATATCATAAATCTTAATGTTGTAATATACCATAATTACGTGCATAGGGTATAATCCCAATGTCATGCAAGTATTAATAACAGTATTTTCTATATTTACCCGGAGTCTACTGAGTCCACGCCCCCTTTTAATTAGTCCCCAGTCGAGAAACACTTAAAAAATAAAAGCCCCCTAAATTAAAAAAAAAATTAATTCTCAATATAAACCCAGAAAAATTATGAACACGAACGTTCATTAAGCATTTTAAGTGGTTCCTGAGCGATCAGTAACCTGCGGTACGGAGACAGAGAGCACAGGAGTCAAGTCTGTCTAGTAAATATTTACTTGCATTATCATACACTCCTACACCGCTGCCTTGCATCACCGTAGACTCCTACTTTCCGAAAAGCCAACAAACACTGGCCGATAGAGCAACGACTAAGAAACAAAGAAAGGGAGGAAACATTGCAAAGCTTTCGTCGCATGTGCACCGCAACACCCTATGACGGGAGTGAATAAAACCAGATGCATTGACCATTGACCTCATTTTGTTCATATACAGTACCTCACATTTATATGCAATTTTCATATTAGTCATGTTGTTAGTTTTTCCTAATCGAAACAATTCAAATTTGAATCGATCATGCATCAACACAAAACAATACGTCACTTCCGTTATAGGGTGTTGTACGAAATTAATCGATGAATATCGGTCGTCAAATATGTAAGTTAAACGACCTTTTATTGAAATTTACTTCTTAACCTAGCAAGGACAGATAATATCTAGATTGCATACAAAAAATGTTCTTTTATGAATTATTAGGCTAGTTATAGCCATCCTAGAATATCACCTCAGACAAGCTCTACGAACCGCTCACTGATCTCATAGTCAAGGGCGTAAAAAGCATCAAAAGATTGGGGGGGGGGGGCGGTTTCGAGGGACACTTTTGGAACGAAAAG